CCATCACCTTCAACTCAACCTTGCCAAGACAGAACTGCTTGTGGTTCCATCAAACCCATTGTTTCATCACAATTTCACCATCCAGTTAGGCACATCAACCATAACGCCTTCAAAAACAGACAGAAACCTTGGAGTTATTATTGATGATCAGCCCCTTTACCTAAATGCATTACTTCAGACTTATGTGCCCACTAGAAGCTTGCATTCTGCAAGTGAATGGTGCATTATTGTGCCATCCCAAAGAGGCACAAGATAACTTTCACAGACTTTTACATTAAATGTTCCCTCCTGGTGGAATGACCTGCCCAACTCAGTCCGAGCAGCTGAGTCCTTAGCCATCTTCAAGAATCGGCTAAAAACACATCTCTTCCATCTTTATTTGACCCTCTAACTCTAGCACTCCCTATTCTAAATCTATTCTTTATAAAAAAAGCCCCTTTTAGACTTGCACTCTATTTATTTACTAACTGCTTGTTTTCTTTAAAAAAAAAAACCCTACACTTGCTTCTCTAATCTTTTTGCATTCTATCTATTTGTTTTCTTTTTATTTATTATACAATTATAATTCTGACTTTCTGACTTCTGATTAACGAAAGCAAACAAGACCTCTAACACTAGCTTGCTCTATTCTTTTTCTATTCTATCGGTTTTCTTTTTATTTATTATATGATTTTAAAAAAACCTTGCTACGTGTGCTGCGTTAGGCTAAGTGAGACTTGTTATAGCACTTGCATATCATTGCTCTTTTGTTGATTTTGATTGCTTCCATTGTCCTCATTTGTAAGTCGCTTTGGATAAAAGCGTCTGCTAAATGACTAAATGTAAATGTAAATATATTAGTATCACTAATAATAATAATAATAATAATAATAATTGTACAATTAAATTATTTTTTGTGTATTATATCATTAACCACAACAACAACAATTATAATGACAAAAATTACACAAAATAGTTTTGTTAATATTGGTAATATAATAATTATATTTAAACAACAACAACAAAAATTATAATCATAATAAATTGTACAGTTAAATTATTTTGTATTAATATAATTATCATCATCATCAATAATAATAATAATAATAGTGATGATATAATAATGAAAATATAAATAATAATGGATAAAAATTGTACAATAAACATATTTTGTATTCATATTAAAATAATGTTAAAAACAAACAAACAATACAGTTTAATATGTAATAATAATAATAATAATTAATAATAAAAATAAATATAATAGATAAAAATTGTACAATAAATATTTTGAATCCATATCAAAATAATGTTAAAAGCAAGCAAGCAAACAAAGACACAAACAAATACATACATACATACATACATAAATACATAAATGCACAATACAGAATCTTTCTCTCTTTTTTGACTTCTCTATTTATTTTTTTTTTAGGATCCATTATGTATTTTCACAATATGGATGCAATGGAGTATGTCTGTGTGCACAGTGAGAGAGAGAGAGTGTGTGTGTGTGTGTGTGTGTGTGTGTGCGTACTGGTATATATGGTTTATGAGGACACTTCCTGTGTCCCCGTAAAACAAAAGGCTTAAAAAACATACAAAACGGTGTTTTATGAAATTCAAAAATTGCCAGTAGTTTTCTGTAAGGGGTAGGTTTAGGTGTAGGGTTGGTGTAGGGCGGTAGAACAGTTTGTACCGTATAAAAACCATTACGCTTATGGAGAGTCCCCATAAACCACAAATGCAAGTGTGTGTGTGTGGGTGTGTGTGTGTGTTTGTGTGTGTTACAGCATGCTTTACCTTCTCTAATTATTTAGTTCTGGGGTGTGGTCACCAAACCAACACATCACTCATTTTCATTCATGCCCCCATCTCTGCCCAAACACACACACACACACACACACACACACACACACAGATCTCTGAGAGGACATTCACATTCATCCAATCAAAAAGTATGAAATCATTCCCCTAGTGTGTACCATCAAAGCTCAAGTCAGAGTGTTTTAGAGCTGCAGGGTGTTTAGTGTGTAACTCCATATTTATACACTGAAGATTTCACTAATTCAGTTAGCAAACAAAGCAAATATAAGAGCGCCCTCTAGTGGGCAGGGTTTCAATACTGTTTCTTACAGTAAATTTGGTCTTTTGTCTAAAATTGTCTCTAATATAAGCATCATATTTCAGTCTACGTTATCTGGCAAGGACCCAATAAATTGATCAAAAGTGACAAATATTTTGTAACTTTATAAAAGTTTTACTATTTCAAATAAATATCATCCATTTCAACTTTGTATAACAGTTTCCACAAAAATATGAAGCAGCACAATTGTCTTCAACACTGGAAATAACAAGTGTATCAGAATGATTTCTGAAGGATCATGTGACACTGAAGACTGGAGCTGAAAATTCAACTTTGCATTACAGGAATAAATAGCATTTTCAAATGTATTTACATAAAAAAACATCTTATATTTTAATAATATTTCACAATATTACTCTGTTTACTGTATTTTTTGATCAAATAAATGCAGCCTTGATGAGCAGAAGAGACATCAAAAGATCATACCGATCTAAAACTTTTGAGCCACTCGTGATGTGTGAATAAAAAATATAAATTCCCCAAGCATAAACATTTAACAAAAATAAGTTGGATGGGTTATAAATAGTATATTTACATGCAGTGTTCAAAATCAAAATTCAAATGCAAACACTGATTTGTATGATTGCAGATCTTGTCACGTCGTCTGCATACGGTCAAGCTTGCATGTTCTTCTCTGCTCTGTGTCTTTCTCCATAAAATACTTGGATGAATAAGGGTGTCATTCATGTAAATTCATAAATTCAGTCAGGTGTTTGGCTGCTGTGGTTTGTCCCAAAAGTTATGAATCTTCCACAGTTCTGCTCTGTTTTTGATTCATTCTCCAAAAAGTCAGCTTTATTGCAAAGCTATGTCCATCAACATCTCCCTCTCCTGTCCTCATCCCTCTCTCCGCAGAACAACGACAACGAGACGCCGCTGCACTGTGCGGCTCAGTACGGACACACTCAGGTGGTGCAGCTGCTGCTGGAGGAGCTGACCGACCCCACCATGCGCAACAACAAGTTTGAGACGCCGCTCGACCTGGCTGCGCTCTACGGCCGGCTGGAGGTGGTCAAACTTCTGCTCAGCGCTCATCCCAACCTGCTCAGCTCCAACACCAAGAAACACACCCCTCTCCACCTGGCCTCCCGCAACGGACACCTGGCCGTGGTGGAGGTGCTGCTGGCCGCTGGCGTGGATATCAACTACCAGGTGAGGACGGGCAGATCTGAGCGGGATCAGGGTCTGTGCTGAATTTTCAACACACTGTTTATGTCAATCTCACATTCAGGAATCGAGCAATTATTCACATTCAAGCACTCAAGACGTTTTGGGATGAAATTGCATAGTAGTTCTGTACTTAACTTGTGCTGCATTATGTACATTTTCTGTATGCAAGGACTAACAGAAGTTCCTTGTCAAACTGCCAAATTATAGGACTTTTTTTTTTTTTTTTTTTTTTTTACATAAAATTGGTTTAAAACTGCATT